TTGATATGTGCCGGGGGGGGGGGGGTTCTTAACTTTAAATGGGCTTTCAGGTGCAGTCCAGTATGTTCCAGTGCATTTGCATAAGTTTATTATGATTTTACATGCTTTCTAGGGCCTTCCGGACCAGAGAAAAATGAAACTGCGCTTGTGTGAACAGAGCCCAGAAATACCATAGGGATTCAATGGAATTAGTTTTTGGGCCAGGAATATACTGTTCTGGTCCGGTCATGGTGTGAAAAAACCTTTGCAGCCTGCCTCATAACTATTCTCTCATTTTCTCCTTTCTTCTCCTTTCAGCTTCTCAACCTTTTAGCTGTCAAACTAGTGTAAAGGCAGGACCTTTTTCTTGCTAAATGATATCTTAATAAATGTAGGAGCCCTTCAGCCCACATTTCATTAACAAATGGAGAGCATTGCTGTGACACGGATCTCAAACCATTACACTTTAAACTTATGGCAACCAGCCTAAATTGACCTGACTGCTGTCCTCCATGTTTTTGCAGCGCCACCCTGCCATTTAACCAGATATTGAATGATTATGTCAATGTCAATTGATATTGTTTCCTTACATTTGTATTTTCCCCAATTTGGTACCTTTGTGTTATTTAAATGCTGCAATGATAAAACCAAAACAAAACACAGAAACAGAAAATCTAAAATGTAGCATTTATGTTGTAATTTAGAATTAATGTGACTTTACTTTGTGGTGTCATGTAGTAAATTAGCATCATAGAGAGTTGCTTCTCTACTTTCTGTGATGCTAATTAAATGCACTGGTTCACAAAAGATGAGTATAGTACAGGGCACTGTGGTAACACAGTGGTCTCTACACGTATTTGATAAAGCTTATAAAAATCAAGCTATACACTGACATCCGATAAGAGATTCAAGAAAAGATGGGGGCCCCACTGAAAGGAACTGAGTTACAAAGAGTTTCAGTTATTTTTAAAGTAACAGTAAACTTAGGAGTTAAATCTTAAAAATGCATTCAAGTACCCTAACTATTAACAAACAGGTATGTTGTGGACACCCTCAAAGAAATTGGCTGTTTTATTCAATTCATCTTTTTTAAATAAAATACCATATAACACTCTACTGGTAACAGTGGCACCCTTCTTGAATTGGTTTCACTTGAGACTCCCTCTTCCCAGTTTAGGAGTCTCTTGTTTTGTTTGGGAGCAGCCCTACCAATAACGTTTAATACTCTAAAGAAGAGATTCACCGGCATACTGTATGTTGGATTCTGAAAGCATGAATATCTAGTGCCTCTTCCACAAACTATAGCTTATCCTACAAGAGATGGCCATATAAAGATCCTTAAGTATCCAAAATAACTTCTTCCAGTTCAGCAGTGGTATTTCAGTGAAAGTCTTTTTAACATAGTGATCACAATAACTGATTATGTGTAAAATGTTCATCTTTGTTTGAGAACGGTGGGACAAGAGCCATTTTTCACAGTTGTTCAAGTTAGATGTTGAATATACAATTTGATGCAGCAAACATATCTCCTTTGCCACACCTAAAATTCTAAATTCCACTAAAAAAAACCCAACATATTACATTACACTTAAAACACAACAGCAACTGCACAGATCTTGGCACTTTCAAGAGTGCAGGTATTTTCAATACACTTCATTCTACTGAAAAGGGCCTGCCTTTTCAGTAGTGGCTATATTCCTCTTTTGACCAAATAATCATATATCATAGGGACACTGTGGTCTGAACAGTCCACAATTACTACACAAAGTATAAGAAGATTCGAGTTAAACCAGAAAACCTGTTTAAGAACAAGAATTCACTTATAGGTCAGTTATGAGTAGGTGTCCTCAGGGTGACTCAGTCTCCCGCTCACTTGTGGTCTTTTCTTTTATATTACAGAAAATGCAGCAGAAGATGTGAGGGAAGACTGGTAGAGCTAGGAATTCTATCCGAGAGGTTAATTGCTTTAGTCTTAAGAGACAAGTTATAAGAGACTCCTAGAAGATATCTCAGCAAATTGTGCATACCATCCAGCCAAATACTGTCTTAGCTGATTTTGTTTCTTAGCTTTTACTGATTGTATTATGAACTGAGGACATTTCATCTCAGTATGAGGCACAGACTGATCTGACCACTGTTGTAGCCTGAATTTTAACTACAACCCTTGTATTCAATCATTTTCTCTTTATTCTGTCCACAGAACCTCTTAGATAACAAGCCTTCCCTTCCTGAATACAAAGTAGCTTCTGTCCAGAAGCCTCGCTTCATCCTTCTTCATTACAGCATCTTCAAAGCCCTCTGGGACTGGCTTATCCTCTTAGCCACCTTTTATGTGGCTGTCACTGTCCCTTACAATGTCTGCTTCACGGGCCACGATGACAGTGTGTCTGCAGCACGAAGCACTATTGTCAGTGACATTGCCGTGGAAATGCTATTTATTTTAGGTAAGCAAACCGGGCCACACAGCCATCCTGTTATATACAAAGAGCAAACAGTTTAGAGAGCAAATATAAAGTGGCAATCGACAATTGTTACCACGCTGTCAGCTACTACAATAAAAAATCAACACAGCAGCAAAAGAAAGGAAGTGACAGGAAATTGTTAAACTGTATGATTGCATATCACAGTGAACCTTGTGACAAAGTGGAAACTGTTTAGTAAATGTCCAGGCCAAGACCAGCAATATGGCAATACAGCATTTATCAGAAGCATTTGTCTGTAAAAAAGTATTGTCTACTGCACATTTCTTTGAATTGCTCAGTGTATACTTTGTACGATAAAACAGAATTATTCCCAGCTATTGCATCTCATCTCTTTAAATCCAAACACATATGCATTCCTCAAGTTCTGTGTATGGCTAATGTCTTATTAGCCAGATTTTTGCCACAAAGCCTGCATAAAAGTCCAGTTTTAAAGGAATAGGCTGATACCCCATCAACAGTGGCCTACTGTGTATAGTCATGTGAAAAAGTAAGTACACCTCATGGGAACTGTTGACTTAGTCAAAATTGTTCATATTTAAATAAGTAAACATTAGCTCTTTATTGATATACTTGAATAAAAACACACAGAAAATGTACCTTTTCAAACATTTAACAAAAATCAATAGATGTAATGGTGTTCTGTGGAAAAAGTAAGTATACCCTTAAACTCAGAAGCTGGTATTTCCCCCTTTAGCAGAAATTACTTTTTGCAGGCCTTTTGCATACCTGCCCACTGGTCTCTGACACGGATTCTTACCCAAAATGTGTTATCTGTTTGCACCAAACATGCTTACTGTTACTGTGCCCAAACTCTTATGTCCACAGCACAAGGTTCCAGAATTCCTGGTCTTTGCATATGTTCAATGACAAACTGTAGTTTTGCTGTAATGTTCTTTTTAGAAAGCAAGGTTGAAGATTATGAAGATTATGTACAGTGTACTATATGTATACACAAATAGAGCTACAGCTCCAGGATGAATGTCGCTATGACAGATGTAAGCAGGTTGCTCTCCTGGAAGCTTTGATTAGAGACATGGAGGAGCGAATTGCAACACTGAGGAGAACTGACAACCTTGAAATGAGTCTTCTGCTCACTGAGCAAACAGTTAATGGGGTTGATGATTAATATTCCTGGCTATGATGCCTTTCTGAGAGACAGGGTAAAACAAAAAGGTGGCAGTGCTAAGCAGCATGGATGGGGGAATCCCCCCACTAGGTGTGTCACTGTCAGAATATCCGAACAGTCACTGCAGCTAATTGGCTGTAGTCACTGTTCCGCCGACTCTTTTCTACCCAGCTTCTTCGATTTTAAGATCCAGCAGTTTGGGCAGGAGGCTGCGAACAGGGCCACCCATAGAGTGAATGTATGCCAGTTCCTCAATAGCCTGCCTAAATTCTCTCCATGTATGGCCAACTTTAAAGTTTGTGACTGGGGACAAAGAGAAAGAACATCCGTAAAATATTTTCTTCAGCTCAGTGTATACAGAGGAAAGTGATGGAGCTCAAGTCCATAAAGGGGAAAGTAGTACCACAAGTAGTGCCTCATGAACCATGAGGGCTTGTTCACACCATATACAGTGTGTTCCATTGCTGTCAGCACATAGTAAACTCCCCCCTGCATTCTGGGGTGGGAGGCGGGTGGCGGTGCATTGAAGACAATAGCACTGCAGCGACGCCCCCTCCCCCTGCCCGCAGTGTGATAGCTCGCACCAGAATATGTGACATATTAGTGTCTGCGTTGTGGTCCAGTGCAATTGGAAAAAATGCTGCATTTTTTTTCTTATCACCCAGGACTGGAACGCGGGCACTGCTGTGCCCACATTCTGGTGCATGCGATCGCACTGCGGGCTGGGGGGGGGGGGCGTGTCTGTGGCCATTGACTTGAATGCACTGCCATGCCCCCTCCTGCCTCAGAACGCAGGGGGAGTTTACTATGTGGTACAGTGCGTTCTAGCAGCTAACCGTGCTGGAACGCACTGTATATGCTGTGAACAAGCCCTCATGATTCATGAGACACTTGTGGCACTACTATCCCCTTTATGTACTTGAGCTCCACCAATTGCCTCTCTATACACTGAGCTGAAGAAAATATTTAATAGATGTTCTTTCTCTTTCTCCCCAGTCACCAATTTTAAAGCTGGCCATACATGGAAAGAACTTAGGCGGCTATTGATAAACTGGACATTGACTTCAATGCACCGCCAGGCCCCCTCCAGCTCCAGAACGCAGGGGGGAGTTTACTATGCGGTACAGTTCATTCCATGGTGTGAACAAGCCCTCAAAGACAATGATCAGAAACAGACAAAATAAAGGTGAATAAAATACCTTGACCAGATGGCGTATACCCACGTGTCCTCAAAGAATTGAGATTGGTTATTTTGAAGCCATTGTTTCCAATTTGTAGAATTAGTTCTCCATGGACAGCTAATGTGTTAGTCATGGTCTATATTCTTAGACAATTCATTCTGTAAATGGATAGAAAACTAGCCTAAGGCTAATATTCAAGGAGTAGCGATTAATAATCCATACTCTGGTCTAAGGTTGTTAGTGGTATAACCCAAGGTTCAATGTAGGGACCCTTACTTTGTAACCTATTTATTAATTAAATAGAGCTTGTGATTAAAAGTTTCTGTGTTTGCAGATGACACCAAGTTATGTGGTGGAATAAAGTCCTTCCAGGATGTCTCCAACTTAAAAGCAGACCTAAATGCACTGTTTGATTGAGCAATTATCTGGCAAAAGGGGTTTAATGATGATAAATGCACTTGGAAATGCATGCATCATACATTGTAGGGAGAGTACAACTGGGAGAGTCTATAATCAATCAGGGTCTTTGTGTCCTTGTAGACAATAGACTTATAAGAGCATGCAATGCCAAGCTGCAGTTCCTAAAACAAGAAAAATAATTTCTTGCAATAAAAGTGGCATATACTATAGAGAGAGCCATAATCTTGCTCCTGTACAAAGTTTATGAAAACTATGTTAGGGAAAGAGAGAGAGTACACAGAAGGGCAACTGATAAGAGGCATGGAGGACCTCAGCATTCAGGAAAGATTAGCTGAACAGAATGTATTCTCCCTTGAGAATAGGTGTTTAAGGGGGTATATGATCACAATGTAAAGAATAGTCTATATAGTAAACTTGGTGCAAAGGTATTACATTTAAGGCCATTACAAAGGACAAGGGGGCACTCTTTGCATCTGTAGGTTTAACCTTTTCATATGGAAAGGTTCCTTCATAGCAAGAGGCGTGAAAATGTGGAATAGGCTATTTCAGGAACCAATTATAGCCAGCTTAGTTGATTTTTTTTTTTTAAATTCTGATTGCATTACTAAGTGCACAGATTATAATTTGTTTCTCCTGTTGGAGCAAATCAGACCATGCTTTTTAATGTCCTTCTCCTTCCAGCCTGACTAACAATGTAACCATGTAATTTATAAAATGTTTTCTTTACAGTGGAATGATTAATTTCAAATAGCTTGCCATGTTTTTAAATTCTTTGCCAGACACATAAGCATCCATGACTTTCTTTCTGAGGGCATTAGAGAGCTATGCCCTCAGAAAGAAATGGCATGATGACAAAACACCAAATAAGACAGGTTCTACTCGCATTCTCCATAAGGAGGTTCTAGTCATTGGCACTCAATCTGGAACACCTGATTTTGAAGTGGTGGTAAATGTAGGGGTGTACTTACTTTTTACAAGTGACAAACCTGATTTTTTGTAAATTTAGACAAGATGAATAAATGCACTCTGTCAATTTTATGTGTCATTCATTTAAGTATATTACCTTTATCTGAAGGCACTGTTTAAATGAAGATCGAAAACCTGCTGGTTCAAATATGTTGAAACCAGCCATGGTACCAGTGTCAAAACATATTACTTCAGCGGCTGTAGCAAGCATGTTAACATACACAAATATGCAGATGTGTTTTACATGCAAGGGCTTCTTATCTGCACCCTGTCTGGCCCTGCAAAGGCTAAGGGCCCATTCACACCACATTTGTTGGACTGCACTGTGCAACCTTGCCCAACACATAGACAAGGCAATTTGTTGCATGTCCTATTAGTTCAGTTCACACCACTGTGGTGTGTATGCTGCATTTGTACACAGCACAGCCTGTTTTGACATGATGCAGTGCATAAAGATGAATGAACTGTCATTTTTTATAATTTCAATAAAGTTACAAAAAAAGAAAAATGTATTAATAGAATGCATCACACTGCTCCTTCACAGCACAAACCAGCGGCCACGATATAACGTGAACTGCTGGTTTGAACGGCCCCTGTATAAAAAGTAAAGTGTGTAGCAAAAGGGATTTCTAGTATGATAATAGCTAAGAATTTAATATACATATTTTGTTTTAGCAGCGAGAGTTTATTAGAATCCCTCATTAGAAGAAAAACACATCTTATTTTTAAAATTGCTAGTGTACCTGGTGTATTTCTGTTTTTTAATGATAAAGTCTAAAGTGTACTCTTATTAAAATAGGAAACAAAGGCATTAAACTTTAGCCTCCATTCACACCTACGCGATGCAGGAACGTGTGCAATGCTGCACGCATTCCGGCATCATAGGTTGAAATCTTATGTTCTCTGCATTATTTATTAGTGCCACCCAAATGCACCTAGCAATCACATGCGGGTTGTATCTTACCACATCGCATGGCAACCTATTACCTTGCGGTGTGGTGCAATGTTATGTAAAACTTTATGTTTATGTTATGCAAGTATGTAAAACTTTAATCCTTTTTTAAATGTAGCCACTGATTAAGGCTTTCTGCTATCATTTGTTGGAGTCTGCTCTTAATACTGAGACTTAACTCATTCAAGCTAAGACCATGCAGATTCTTTCCAGCAAATTTAAACCCTGACTAAAGAGGCCCATTAGAACTCCCCGAAATGTGTTGGCTTGTCCATTTGGCATTTTAGGATGAAATCTTCATGGTCTCAAAATTTGTTCTGGTGCTCTTATTTTTCCTATAACCCTTAAGTACAGGCTACCCCTTTAAGTGTGAGGAAATCTCTCAGATGGAGCCCTGGATAGAAGTAAAAATTTGACGGGGGTTTTAAACCTTGCCTGCTCCATCCAAAAGTACAAAAAAAAAAAGTTTGGGCTTTACATGCACTTTAAAAGTATTATATTTATTCTACACAACCATGTATGTATTCTCTGTATGCAAATTTTACCTTCTGAAACTGTAAAACCCCACCTCTCTAATTTTACAGACATCATTTTGAATTTCCGGACTACATATGTCAGCCAATCTGGACAAGTGGTGTATGCTCCACGCTCTATCTGTATCCACTACCTCGCCACATGGTTCTTTGTGGACCTTATTGCTGCTTTGCCCTTTGATCTTCTCTATGCATTCAACGTCACAGTGGTAAGAGAAAAAAGAATCGGTGCATCCTTATTACTTTGGAGCAGACTTATTTTATTCACATAGCTAGAACTATTGAGTACATACAGATTAGAATTCTTTTAACTGATTAAAGAATACCTCATTATTTTAATGCACAGACCACTCTTATCTAATCACAAATGATTTTTTTCTTTTTCCAAAAATCATGCAAGACGTCTCTGGTACATTTACTAAAGACGGTTCGATTATTGAGGCTCCTGAGGTTATTGCAGAAGCTGGACCGGTATTCTCAGTACAGTGCCATGGTGCTAACTCTTCTGATGTCCATGTTTGCTCTGCTGGCTCACTGGATGGCCTGTGTCTGGTATGTGATTGGCCGCAAAGAGATGGAAAGTAATGATCCTGTCACCTGGGACATAGGTAAGCATTGCTTGACACTTATCTGGTCTGGAAATTTAAATTCCATTAATGAATGAGACAGTCAAGCTTTTGGACATAAGTCATGCAACTCTAGATTAATCACACCATGTAGGGTCTAGCATATAATTGAGTACTAAAGATAATCAAAATTCTGAAAGCAATCAGTTGTGGTTCATCCAGGGCTCTTAAAACTTTGCAAACTGGAATTCCCATTTTAGCTTGAACGGGGCTCGAAAAAAGGTGTGTAGTAGAGCAGCAAATGATGCAAAATTGTGCAGAATAAATTTGGAAATACTGGGTAATGGAGCCACGGCTTCAGGCACTTCCTTTAATAATTTGTAAGGGGTACTTGGATAAAAAGGGTGGGACCTGCTGTTACTATTAGTCAAGGGGGCTAATAGTACCACCTGTACTGCCAGAGTGCTCAGGCTACAGCAGAAGCAGATATCAGGTAGGAACAGCCTTTGGAGTAGCCTTTGTTCACTTTCTCCCAGAAACATTTTGGCAATCTAAACTGTCAAAATACCAATAAAATTTGTATTTGGTTCGGGCCATCAAATTGTCATTCAAAGTTTAACTCTAGTCAGCATATGGAGGTACTTGATACACTTTAATTAAACTAAAGGCACATTCTTTTTTCCACATAGAAAAGGGGAAAAGCTAAACATCACACAATATGGATAACATGTTGATGTCAGTGCTGTGTACTGGCGATTATGCTCAGTGAGGATATATAAGGATTTTACTGTAGCATTGCATTGTTATGTAATATAATGTGCTTTACATTATGGCATTACAAAATCTTGGTTGCTTGTTTTTAACATATGGAACAGAGTTTTTTTCTAAGTTAAACAGTGTAATGAAATTAAATTATACTACCTTTGCAGGTAATTCAGTATTAGAAAGCTGATTTTCTGAAAGATGTTCCCTTTCTAGAATGTCTAGTTTCTAGGACGGTAACAATTTGTTGTTAGAGCTTACAACTGTGTAAATCTTCATGATTTCTACGGCTGTAGGAAATAAGACCTTTATATCCCGTTATAGCTTTACTACCCATCTTATATGATTATCCTGGGGTTTAATGGCTTGTGAGTGCATCCCAACAGTATGAAGAACACTCTAAAGTAAAGCATATATGTTACATCACAGGGCTTGTGGTAAGATGCGTGTTTGCATGTGGCCAGAATGGCTACAATCCAAAGAATGAGCAAATTTGAGAAAAGCAACAAAATCCCATGAATTTGTCTATACAGCATACTGGTAATACTGGTAAAACCATATCCAGTACATACATTTAATTGAATCTTGGAGCATTGGGCAAGGAGGTGATTAAGATTACTAGTGTATCCTAGTGAGGTCTCACAACTGCAAGGAAGGATAACATATTGTAACTTGTTATTAGTACTCTTCTCTATACATTGGATGCTTCATTCACAGCTAGAAAGTCTCAAACTGAGAAAATTGTCAGTGACCTTGGTCTATACCTACTTCCCCATAATATAGTGTCTGATATCTGGGGTGAGAGTGGCCAGTCCAAATAAGGGATATTAAGGTGAATTGTAACTGGCAACATTTATTTCCCCTGCTCAACCAATCCTTGTTTGGAAAAAGTGTTCTTTAAATTCTGCCCGAACTTATTGCCCATTTGCAATATAAAAGTATTTTACAATGTGCATATTAAATGTAAATTCTTGATCATTCCTTCCACTCAGGCTGGCTTCATGAACTTGGCAAGCGACTTGAAGTACCATACATCAATAATTCTATTGGTGGACCCTCTATTCGCAGTGCTTATATCGCATCCCTCTACTTTACCCTCAGCAGCTTGACCAGTGTGGGCTTCGGTAATGTCTGTGCAAATACAGATGCTGAGAAGATCTTCTCTATCTGCACTATGCTAATAGGAGGTAAGGCTTGTCTAGGCTATAGTCTTAATAAAGTTTTTGAAATGATCACTGTTTAGGTATTTAAAAACACCCATATATACCTTCCTGAGGAACCAATCAAAACATTTCACAAAACGTGCTAGTCAACTACTGCATAGCTCTTAACCCTTTCACTTCCAGGTCCTGCTCTCCACCTTTAATCTCAGGTAGCCAGACCATTTAATGCATGTTTTCACTTCTTTATCCTTATCATTTTCACATACAGCTTTCTAAGGACTGTTAGAATAATAAAATTGTGCTGCTAAATCATTATTAGTGTACACAAACACAATATAACTTACAAAATTCCTACTGGATCCGAAAGATACAACTGTATTGTGTGACTACAACACTCTGCATGAATGTCATATTTAAAAAGTTTAAAAAAAGAAAAAAAATCAAGCACTGCGATGCATTGTAACAATGCATTGCAGCATTTGTACACACATCTGCTGGTGTGAATGGGCCCTAAGTGTGTTGGTGCACCGCAGTGGTTATATACATACAGGGACATGTGAGCAGCCCAGTTTAATTCCAAGATGTGCAGTTAACCACATGTGTACTACAGGTGCCTGTCATTAATTTGTACAGGATGCTGCCCGCTGCTGTATGAAAACGTTAGTGACTCTTGGGTACACAAATACTCTTCGTTTTTACACTGTATTGACCTTTGTAAATGAAGTGTTTTTTGGTTTTGGTTTGTCTTTACTTTTTTTACAGTACTTTTGGGGAAATATTAGAGGTCTTAACAGACTCTTTATATTTTACTTTTGAGATAAAGAGATTAAGTCCTTAGTCTCCTTCAACCCCTGCATCCCAGCACTAATGAACACAGAAATGCTCTATACAGATTGAAAGAGATAGATCACAAACCAAAGAAAAAGTAAACATGATTTGTGTTTATTTTCTCTCTTTCGTTATTAATGAACACAGGAGAGTTTACTACTAAGCACTCCTGTGTTCATTCAAGGTGTCAATAAACACAGTAAATATAATTCACTATTCAATGGGTCCCATTGCACTCCTGACCGGATTGTTTCCACCAATATCGGGCGGGTGCCAGAGTGACCGCAAATGCTTCTGCAGATCAATGAGCAAGTAATAGAAAGTCACTCGCACTCCAACTTGATTCTTAGTCAATGTTTATTGACCTCAGTAGTGTCACATTGTAAAAAGTGACATATCGGAACTGCAAAGTCCCTTCTTCAGGCAAACAAAGTGCCACTTCCCTACTCTAACCAACATATACAATTTTTGGGTGGAGTTATGCTTTAACCCTCTTGCTGCCAAGGATGTGAGGCTCATGCCCTAATAGAACCGCTTCTTATTGGCCAGCTCAGTAAACCTTATGTTCACTGTATTCTCTTATAAGAGAAGTGTTCCCTGAACTCCCCTAATTGGATTAATAGCTGTGACAATCTAAACCGAAATGGCCAGCGGTAGGACATTTTTAATCAGAGAGAATTAACTGAAATGTACTAGAGACAGGTGTTTTTCTACAAGAATTAAGGGACTGCAAATGACATAGCACTTTAAAACTGTCCAGAAGCAGGAAAGTTTTAAATAGCAATTTTTGGCCCACATTTACTGCAGATGAAGAGCACAGGTAGGGGTTATACTACCTGAGACCACAGATGACACAGCAGTGTAAAACTTGCCAGCAGCAGGACAGTTTTAATCAGGGATAATAGGCCTATATGTCTATGCTTTTTATTTATGGGGATGAGGGATGTGGTGAATGTGAGTGATGTAATGTGAGGTAGTTTAGGTGCATACTGTTCTTGCATCTTTCTTGTGCAAAAGGGGGAAAAAAGCCTCCAATTAATAGAAAAAAAGTTGCTAAGGTAAAACTTCAGGTGTAGCTGAAGTTTTAGATAGCAGTCAGTTGTTGACTTACAAATTTGGACCTTATAAGGATTTGTGGGTGTACAGATCTGTGATCATTTTACTTCCTAATGGTAGCCATGCACTGTGTGATTTTCATTCAGAAATCGTTCGTGAATGGTCTTTCGAACAAAAATCGATCAGTTGATGGTACATCACCGATGTTCTTTTTTGATATTGTGATCAAAATGTTTCGATCGGTCAGGTTGGAAAAAAATTTCCTGAACGAATGAAAAATCGTTGAATCAGTGGGGTTTTCGTTCATCAAAAATCTTAGCAAGAACACAGCACATGCACAAAAGGAAATTATTTCCGTCGCTCGTAAAAAATTGGTTGGTTAGTATGGCTAATGAACAATTCCAGAACATGACATTTGACTATGCTTGATGGGGTACTCAAGCTATAATCGAACAAGGGTTTGTGACAGAAACATTAATTTTTGATCATAAATCTACTAGTGTATGGCCACCTTTTAAGGACACTTTAAGAGACCAGTGCCTAGAAGTCCTACATTAATCTGTATATTTATCAGCAGCACATCCTTATTCTTTTCCTAACACTGATAAACACATTATCAATATGGCTGCTGGGAACCCAACCTATTAGAGCAAGGGGGCTGGCTTATCCAAAGCCCCATTACTGCCCCTTTTCAGTTTCCGAGCAAATTTCTTAGCCTGGGAAGTGCATTATTGGTAGTTAGTTGCTGTGGTGGCAAAACTGCACATTAGTTCAATGGGTCAGCAAACCATAGATGGACCAGGTTCACCTTGAACCCATGCTCAACCAGAATTTGATTCTCATGCCCATTTATCACTTTGGTCTTGTCAGAACACAGCATAGTATACACTGACATACTAATACCTTTAATATTTTTTTCATAATTTGCAGCTCTGATGCATGCTGTGGTTTTCGGTAATGTAACAGCCATAATTCAACGTATGTACTCCCGGCGTTCCCTGTATCACACCCGCATGAAGGACCTCAAGGATTTTATCCGTGTTCATCGCCTTCCTCAACAGCTTAAACAGCGCATGTTAGAGTATTTCCAAACCACATGGTCTGTCAACAATGGCATTGATGCCAATGCGGTAAGAGGCCCTTAGGGAAGCTTCCCTGCCAAATTATATAATTACTATATGTAAACAAGATGTAAGATGCAGTCTTGTTGATATTTAGAAGTAACTTATACTGGTTTGTACATATTTTATTTATGATATGATCAAATGTGTTCTGTTTTTTTAATCAGGTAAATAAGAAATAGTGCATATTATTATTATGATAATTATTATTATTGTTAATATTGTTTTATTATTATTATTATTATTATTATTATTTAGTGTTCTGTCACATTTTATATACACTGAGTGGCAAGTGGAGTAACGAGGCGCCCAACTAAGTCATCTCGTGGAGTCATCTCGTGGCCCAACGAAGTTCTGATGGGGTGGTCATAATAATCTGGCCACTCAGTGTATTTGGCAATAGTTCAAAGAACTAGATGGAATGAGTTAATCACAGCAGTGATCTCTTATCAGAGAGATTAGCCCCAAGTTTTTTTAGGCAAGAGAAGTTTCAATGCAAGCTTTGTTTGCTGTGCCATCTCCTCGTTCACACCATGTCTGTTGAGCTGCATTTGTACACTGTTCATTCCATACATGTGCGATGGTTTATATTATATATTATATTTGGCGTTGGGGAATTTAGCACAAGTGGCGAGTGCTCAAAGACCAGTCTTGAAGCCGTTTTAAACATAAACAGAACAGTCTTTTATTGCTTCCAGAGCAGAAACATAACTTCATCAACCATAATACACGGTCAGCTTGTATTCCTGCAAACAGAACACATTGGGGGTGATTTACTAACCTAAACACACGCACGCACCAGGTGCGTGTGATTTTTACACAGCAAAACGTATTTATCAACCAAAAAGTCTCTAAAAGCATATTTCCACTAATGCTATATATGGAAAAATCATGCACATGATGCATATATAATGCTGCTTCACAGTTTAGACAAAAATGGTTAGCTCATGCATTTACATTCCTGCATTCATCAACGCAAGCAACACAACATAGAGCTAATTTACACAAGATCACCTTGCAAATTCATGCAGGGCTTTGCACAACACACCTGCTGGGTGTGTACACACTACAAAGGTGTTTAGATTCCACCCATAGATCATGCTGGGAGGGAACACACTACAGAGGTGTATACATGTTCGTGGTGTGTTTATAAGGTTAGTAAATCAACCCCATAGTCTCACCGACTCCAGGTTGTCACACATACTCCATGTGTAAGCGGCTCTCTCAACCTCCTTGGCTGTCTTCCTGTGCCTCTAGCACACACAGCCACCTGGCTCCCCTCTGCCTTCTGGGAGGAGTCCTTCTGACTCCTGAACATCCCTGTTCCTCTTCCCAGCTGGAGCCCAGAACCTTAACCAGCAGCCTTCCCATAAGTGCTGGGCACAGGTGTGCAATTAGGTGCTGGCCACTATTAAACAATGGACCCAGGAATGGAGATTTCATCCCTCCCAATTCTCTTAGAAATCTCCCAGTTCCAGGATCCCATGGCAAATCCAGAAAGGGGTATTTAAGCACTAGCTCTGCAATGAGCTGGTGTTGTGTCTTTTTACCAGCTGTTTGTAAAAGAGCTTTATACTTCTGCTGGTTTCTCATTGCTGACCCAGAGTGTCTGACCCTTCTTCGCTTGCTGCCCACCCTGATCTTCTGCCTGGACACGACTTTGCTCTTGTGTCCTGCGTTTATCCTGATTACTCATTGCTGACCAAGGACTGTCTGACCACCCTCTGCTAGCTGGCTGCCTTGAACTCTGCCTGGATCTGACTACTGTCTCCTCATTGGAGCCCTCCTGTTCTTGTCCATCACTTGGCAGGGCTACCCTGGGGATTGTGACCTGGTACCAGCAAGCAGCCAAGCCCATCTCCACCATCAGGAGCTCTGGTGAACACCGGCTGGTACTTGTACTCCGCCCCTCAGGTAAGCCTGTATCACCTGCCTGAAGGTGTCACCCTAACACTGTCAAATGGCTGCATCTTCCATGTAGCTTGGTATTTGATCATATACAGTCATAGGCAAAAATATTGTCACCTCTACCTTTCTGTCAGATAACGCACCACTTTGCGCAGAAAATTATTGCAATTACAAATGTTTAGGCATTCTCATGTTTATTACCTTTCGTTTGTATTGGTATGACACAAAAAAAGTGGGTAATCAAAATGCCAAATTTGACACATTCCACGCAAAACTCCAAAAATGAACTGGACAAAATAATTGGCACCTTCAATTAATATTTGGTCGCACAGCCCTTGGAAAAAATAACCAAAATCAATTGTTTCCTGCAAGCATCAATGAGTTTCTTACACCTCATTACAGGAATTTGACACCACTTTTCTTTCGCCAACTGATCCAGGTCTCTCAGATTGGAAGGGTTCCTTTTCCCGATAGCTGTTTTGACATCTCCTTACAGGTGCTCTATGGGATTTAGATCTGGACTCAATGCTGGCCAGTCCAGTACTTTTCAGCGCTTTGTTTGAAACCATTTTTGGGTGCATTATGACGTGTGCTTTTGGCCATTGTCCTGCTGTATGACCCATGACCTCTGACGGAGACCCAACTTTCTGACACTGTTGAGCTACATTGCACCCCAGAATTCTTTGGTAGTCTTCAGATTTCATAATGCCATGCACACCGTCAAGATGTCCAGTGCCTGAAGCAGCAAAGCAACCCCAAAACATCAGTGAACGTCCTCTTTGAATGTAGAGAGACTGGATTTTTTTCTTTAAGGGCCTCATTTCTTTTTCTGAAAACATAAGAATGATGAGCTTTACCAAAAAGCTGTAATTTTGTTTCGTCTGTCCACAACACATTCTCCCAAAATTATTTTGGCCTCCTTAAGTTTCAGATGGTGATGTATATTGCGAGCTGACACAGTTGTACCCTGTGCCTGAAGGTCCGCTTGAATTTGTCTGGAAGTTGATCGAGAGTCTTTATCCACCATTTGAACAATCCTTTGTTGCAATCTTTGATCAATTGTTCTCTTTAGTCCACGTCCAGGGCTGTAAACTTCTTGACAATGTTGCGCACAGTGGACACAGGAACATTAAGATCTCTGGAGATGGACTTGAAATTGCCCATGTTTTTCCACAAAAACATGGACTGCAATTATTTCTTGCAATTTGCAGAAGGTGCCAATAATTTTGTCCAGTTAATTTTTGGAGTTTTGCATGGAATGCGTCAAGTTTGACTTTTTTATTTCTCCACTTTTTTGTTTCATACTAATACAAGCAAAAAAGATAAACATGAGAATGCCTAAACATTTGTAATGGCAACAATTTTCTGTGCGAGGTGGTACATTATCTGACAGAAATGCAGAGGTGCCAATATTTTTGGCCATGACTGTATCTGCCAGCTTCTAAAGTCACTAGCTGGTAATAAAGGCCTAGTAATTCCAGAGAAGCTTTAAAGCAACTCTACTGTTACTTATATTTGAGCGCTTTTAGTTCTCCACACCCATAAAACAGTATGGTATGATCTTGTTTCTGCTTACAGGGGAACTGCTGAGGCGGAACCATTTTTCTACACACAAATAGAGGATAATAGATGATCTTCAGTGCAATTTGGCAACTACAGAAAAAATAATACTAGTATAAAATTACACTTAAGTAAAAAAAAAGTTCCATTTAAACTAAAAGGTGCCCACACACCTTGCGATTATCGTACGATAATTGCGGGAAATCCCGCGGTCGTACGATTATCGCAAGGTGTGTGGAAGGCGTGCGACCGTTTCTACTGTACAGTTGCACAACATTTGTCTTTCGAGCATGTTCAAAAACCAGCCGAGAATCGTACAATTTTCGGCTGGTTTATAGCATGGTCGTGAGATAACTGCCGCACGGGCCGGTGTGCGCAAGACAGAAGTCTTGCGATGGTTGTAAGGTGTGTGGCCAGCTTAATTCAGTTAACTTAAAAATCTTCAGTTTGAATGGCTCCAAAATTGGTCAATGTCAGCCTATTCCAGACATACTGTATATACATGCTGTGGTAAGCAAAGGAGGATGTACAAATAAAAAGAATATGACATATTGTCTAAAATCAATGTGAAAATCCAAATCTAAGAAATTATATAAAACTTACAATAAAGCTGAACTCCTGGCAGACATCTGTTTTATCCGCCAAAGGACTTATAGTTCTCTCCAGCCAGTCCTGATATTTACACAGCCTTGTCACAAATCAAAGCCCTGTTTGGCAGAGCAGAAGACTTTCTGTTAGGTAACATTCACAGTTCTTGTCCCTGCACCAGCCCGTGACCCATCACAAGCAGCACACTGATGAGTTTATCTCTGTCACTCTGCTGTCTCCTGGTATTAGCATGTTAGCACATGAGTTCTGTCGCACAACTGATTGGCTCCTTGAACTGCTTCTCCTTCTCCCATTCTGAGCTCTACATTAGAAGGATTACGAAAGTCCGATTTCCAGTTCAAATTTTAAAGTATAATTAAACTATCAGTTTACTTTTTGCATATATCTACTGCTAGCAAGCAGCAGATATATGCAAAAACATTTAAAAAAATTAAAAAAGTTACCAAAGAGGTAATTACTTACCTCTGTCACCGCTGCTCGCTCCCATCCGAAGATCTGAAACATTCTCGAGAGGCCGAGCAGGATGATGGGGCAGGCACATGCGCAGTACAGATCTTCGGCAGGGAGAAGAGGAGAGACACAGTGGAGGTGAATGCACGCAGCCGGGAGTGTGCACATAGGACAGACACCGTGGGACAGGAAGAGATAGGAGTCTGCGGTGGATTAGAGACCGGCACCAGTGCTGGAGGGATGCTGAATAGTGGAAGGAAGAAGATGATCGGATCAAGAGGCATCATTTAAGGTAAGTCCTTTTAGAAGCATGGGGGTGGGGGGAGGGTAATATTTGTGACTTTATTGTCACTTTAAGTCATAGACTAGAAGTTATATTTTATAAGTATTTTTTCTAATTGTATTTTTGTAACTGTTGCACATTTTACATCGAGTAAGTTTCAAAACTTATTCCAAGGCAGTGGTGGAATTATATACCTAAGTTTGATCCACTGTACTATAACCACAACAAATGGATCTCCACCATGTGCTCTCATGCTTCATTTGCATGTATTCAGCTGTGATCTAACAAAGACATCAGAAAAGTCAAGAACAATGCATCAATATGCAGTCTACATTTTCAAATGCAGACATGAATGAGGCCAACACGAAGATCAACTGGATGCGAATGGGTTACATTACAGTGATTGCTGCTGACTGCAGGCTCAAGATAACCACATAACTGGCACGTTCATATATACAATACTATTGCTCAAACTATACATATTGTTTTAGGCTCGCAAAACTTTTGAATTGATTGACCAGTATGGTAATATTATAGGTATTTATCATGTATTTATCATGTACTGGTTGTGTAATACAAAGTACAAAGATAGACACCGGCACTCCAAGGCAGACCTGCCTTGGAGTGCCAGTGTCTATCTTTGTACTTCGTATATCTTGACGGGAGCCACCCGTCGACATCTGCTGCACCCACCTCCTATCTTATGGAACAGTGGTTCTGAGAGCGATGGGTATATGGACTGTATTCTGGTTGTGTAATACAGCCCCAACTACTGAGTACAGCAAGAGCCATTTTCAATGAAAATCTGGCAGTTGTTCCTTATATAAAGTACCAGATGGGTGCCATTTCTTGCCCTAATACCAAAAAACTGCAGAGCCAGGCCATGCTAGCCAAAGACCTAATCATTCTTCAGCATTTATAAGATCTCAAATTGAAGAGTATGATATTGTATGACAAATTTTACTTTAATAAAAACAACTTGATTTTACTCTTGCAGCTACTGAAGGATTTTCCAGATGAGTTACGTGCTGATATAGCAATGCATCTCAACAAGGACATCTTGCAGCTCCCTGTGTTTGAGCCAGCCAGCCGTGGGTGCCTAAGGGCACTCTCCCTGCACATCAAGACTTCCTTCTGTGCTCCTGGAGAATACCTCCTGCGCCAAGGGGATGCTTTGCAAGCAAATTATTTTGTGTGTTCTGGCTCAATGGAAGTTTTAAAGGACAATATGGTGCTGGCAATTCTTGGTGAGAATGAAGTCATAATTTAAAGAGAAACTGTCACTATTTAGCTAAAAAATTATGCAAAATATTAGGCTGCTTGGGTGGGTGGCCATATTTCCCTTCCGAGTTTGGAGGAGCTAGTTCATCCTAATTCCTTATATAAGGCACCATGCGGGCCTCATTTCTCAACTTACAGCCAAGAGACAAAAAAAACCTTGCTGTGGAACACACGTGCATTCTAGCATGACTATTTACATGTACACATGTGCTTAGTAAAAGGATTAGAGAGCTCGAAAGAGCCTGGGCCTGTGTTGCCAAATGCTAAGCAGCCAGCTCACAAAGCCCCTGCTGGCAATTTGCAAAGGAGATAAGTCATCAACACTGTTGCCCAATCAAGTTTATATGGAAAATGTTAATTATTTTTTAACACTCATGCTACAACCATTTCTTATACTTTCTAATAATTCCTCTAATAATTAGCTGCAATTGTTAGTTTAAGGTGTATGTAAAATAAATTACAAAAAATTGGAAAGAATGTGGAAGGGTTAGAACTCCTGTCAGGCTTTTATTGCTGCCTATGTCACTGCTATGGAGATTCACCCTTACTATTGGTTCTGGTGACCATTGTCTCTTGTACAGGAAGTGATCGGAAATCCAATATTTTTGAGTTGTCACAGGGACAGCAAAAGAGGTGATACCTTTCAATGGGGAAAACTGTTTTGGACATAAATGTTTAAGAGTGGATATTTGTTTGCTTTAGAGAGATCTTCTCTTTCTGATGTGTTCCTGGGACAGAAGGGAAGGGAAGCCTCCACTAAGGGCATAGACAGGAGAAAAAAATCTGACGGGGTCTTAACAATTCCCTACTCTATCCTATACTAAGAAAAGGTTTTGGTTTTACATACACAAAGTATATGGCATCTTATTTTTTATAATATCACAAGTTCCTGTGCTATGTATAGATTGTTAAAAGACACAATTTTCCCCACGAAGGGGATCCCACCATTCCTTCAAAGTATATAACAAAATATTTATAAAAATATATATTTATTTATTGAAATGCTAAAAACATATATCTGACAAACATAATTATATCAAAATGCACACAAATACATGTAGCTGCATTCTGCTGGTAATTCCTAACAGTGCTATGGAAACAATGCTATGAAAAAGCAATGTAGAGGCACGCTGTGTAAAAGCCTTAAAGGAGAACTATGAGATGAGTGATTTCCACTCACCTCATAGTTCTAGCCGACCTGTGACAATGAGACTGTCGCAGGTCGGCTCAGTAGATCGGGAGGTGAGCGAACACATACCGTATTCGCTCACCTCTCGATCCTGTCACGGCTCTCTGCCGTGACAGGGGGAGGGGCTGGATTCCCCTCTTCCCGCTCCGATCTGCCAGCGCTGACTGGTGGAACGGACGGGGAGGGGGCGGGTACAGCTGGCTCTGCCTCTAGATAGGCAGAGCCAGCTGTCACTCACGCAGCTGGGCAGATCCCGACGTCCATGTCGGAATCCGCTCCGGCGTCTCAGTATACCGCAAGCTACAGCTGAGCTTAGGGCTCAGTGCTGCTTCCACGGGGTTATTTAATCCAAGGTGGTTGAAGAAGGTAAAATCAAAGGAACAAAAAAGAAAGCAGGCAGAATTAAATCTGCTGGAGCGATACAAAGTGGCCTGGTATCCTTAATCATTGGACAGAGATCCGAAAAATCAAAGGAAAATAGCCTTCAAATATAATGAAGAAACAATAATGACTGTAATGGGTTACACCCCCTCCCACACCGGGGCTTCATCAGAACAACGCCCTTCTGATGAAGCCCCGGTGTGGGAGGGGGTGAAACGCGTCATAGGCGTTCAGTGAAGGCTTCTCTCATGTAGCTGCTTCTGCTGAGGCCGCCTTGTGTTTTTTCCCAAAAATACCTGTCTACAAACAACTTGAATCTGATACATTAACAAGAAGTTCTTAGGAGTCTCGTGTTGAGGAGAAAAAAGAGAGAAAGAGTCTGTACGGCTTCAGTGAAGGCTTACATTCAGAACGAACACAAAAAAAAAGCCGAGATAAATTTATCTCCTGAACCCATTACAGTCATTATTGTTTCTTCTTTATATTTGACGGCTATTTTCCTTTGATTTTTCGGATCTCCGTCCAATGATTAAGGATACCAGGCCACTTTGTATCGCTCCAGCAGATTTAATTCTGCCTGCTTTCTTTTTTGTTCCTTTGATTTTACCTTCTTCAACCACCTTGGATTAAATAACCCCATGGAAGCAGCACAGGGGTTCAGTTAAGGCATTAATCCACAAGTGAGTCAAATCCATTCTTTACATCTTGATGCTGACTTTATTTTTGTTCTCTTTTTCCTTTTTTTCATACATATGTATGTTCACTCCTCAAATATAGAGATCTTTCGTTTTTCTCGTTTTAATATGGGTAATTTTTCCCATTTATGTGGAGACTTTTGAAACCAGAAATAAATGCAAAAATATATATATTCGTGATACCAGTTGAAAATATTAAGGCTTTTACACGGTGTGCCTCTACACTGCTTTTTCATAGCATTGTCTCCATAGCACTGTTAGGAATTACCAGCAGAATGCAGCTATATGTATTTGTGTGCATTTTGATATAACTTATGTTTGTCAGATATATGTTTTTATCATTTCTAAAAATAAATATATATTTTTATAAATATTTTGTTATATACTTTGAAGGAATGGTGGGATCCCCTTAGTGGGGAAAATTGCATCTTTTACTAGTATAAATAAGTAGGGGACCCTCCTTCAATATTCTGTATACTCTCCACTTTACCTTCCTTTCCCCATTTATATACCTATGTTTAGATTGTTTGCTTTTTGATTGTTGCAGGTAAAGGTGATCTCATTGGTGCTGACATCACCAGCAAAGACCAGGTGATTAAAACAAATGCTGATGTGAAAGCTCTAACATACTGTGACCTGCAGTATCTCACTCTCCGAGGGCTTCTAGAGGTACTGGAACTGTACCCAGAGTATTCCAACAAATTCATGGCAGACATCCACCATGACCTGACATTTAATCTACGGGAAGGCAGCGAGACAGATGTAAGAGATATGTGAAATTACTGTTATTTCTGCTGTGTTATATACTGTATATTTATCACCAGTTGTCTTCTATCACTAATTATAGGGCTACTACAGATTTTCTCGTTCACCACGGCTATCACAGGTAATACTCGTTGTATGTTTTAGCATCGTTTTTTTTGTTCTGCTTAGATTTTTAGTGTTCATAGTTCAGTATAAGTAGTTTGACAGGGGGTGCGTCCATTGCTGAAATACATTGGGGGGTGGGGTTTATCCAAACTGGAGCAGACAGATCTGGAGCAGTTGCCCATATCAGCTTCTCTCTTCAGTTTGTTCAGTTAAGCTTTGAAAATGAAAGGGAGAAGCTAATTGATTGACAATGGCAACTGCTATACATTCTTTGTGCTCCAGGTTTGATAAATTCCTCTCACTGTATTTGAAGGTGCCTCTTCTCATCTGAAAAAGGTGGGAGGTATGCTACAATTGTAACTCCCTCTTGTTACTGCAATCATGGATTAAATTTTGATAATACACTAATTTCTTTCCATTTGTATGTCCAATATTATACTGGATGACTGGCATGATCTGCGAGAATGTCCAATTTAGTTGCATGGGCCCTTTGTGGCTCATATGATAACAATAAGTTTGTGATAAAAATAGTTTGTAATTTTTTTCCAGCCACGTCCAGAATCTGGTACTACCCCTGATAAGCTAGCATCAATCCTTGAAGATAAAGATGAGACAGATGACTTTTTCCGACACTCTCCTGCCACTATGACCCGTAGAAAGCTCCTTCTGCCAAACCTTAACAGTCCTGTGCGCCGTGGCTCCCTCAGCAGCCTCTTAGGAGATGATCTGAGACAATTCTCTGCTTTCCGGCGTAATTGCCGGTCTCCAGCCCGGAACAGTCGAGGAAGAAGCCCCTCACCACAGTGTCGAAAGGCAGAAACGGTGTCTGAGTCAGAAAATGTATGCTCCCACAAGCCAGCCAATCTACTCATCCCATCACTTAACACATATGGCCCACCAGATCTCAGTCCTCGGTAAGTTGTTTTTACATATCTTTGTTTCATAAAGGAATTATGAATGGATAATAAAACATCTTAGGGACCTTTACTTACAGAAAATAAACTATGCAGAACTCCAATATGTTTACCTTTTTACAATGATTGATAATAGAAATAAGAGTTTTGTACTTACCATAAAAAATTTTTTGCTGTCCATTGAGGGAAACTGGAATTATATTAGAGTCAAGTTATACTTCCTACAGGAACAGAAAACAGAAGAGTATCAGACAAAAATAGGATGTTAGAGTCCATAAAAAAAGTTGAATAATTATGTTGATCAAACAGTATTTCAGGGGCGGTCACAATTCCTCCCTCAGGGTTTGGAAACTATGAGAATGAAGGAATGAACTCAGAATTTTGATTTTATGGGTATTTCTCCCAAAATTTGTAGACTGCAGGCAGTGATTGGAGTGTGACATATAGGAGGTTAGTAAGTACTATCCTTGTCGCACTCCTTACCGATATGTCCCTTGTAGTGGGGGGTGCTCGCAGTGACCGCGGATGGCGCCGCAAATGTTAGCAAAAAATTATAGAAATGTCACCAGCACACCAATCCTTTTAAGATAGCAAAAGCTTCATTTATTGAAGTTTTTTGTCATATGACCAAACAAGCGCTTTCGGGACCGTGCAGGGTCCCTTCATCAGGTCAATGATCAATGCTAAAGCCTGATGAAGGGACCCTGCGCGGTCCCGAAAGCGCTTCTATAGGAGGTTAGGACACTGGCAAACAAAAAATCTTGCCATCCAGCTCTTGTATAACCCCTCCTCTACTCAGCATGCCTTAGTTTTGTGAGAAAGCAATATACAGGGTCATAGAAAACACAGATGGGTGGGACCTGTGGCCCTCAAGAAAAATATTTTACAGTGAAATAATTTTTCAGTAAGTATCTATCATGGATAGATAGGAAAAAGCCCTCTGTTAGGCAGACTAACTGTAGTGACCAAGGGAAGACCAACCTGATGTTCCAGAGCAGGATAAGAAAATCACTGCCAGGGGGAAACTCCTGACTGAAGGAGCCCACAAGCAATCCACCAAGATGACCAATGGAAAAAACAAACACACTATAAAATCAGAGTAAAGCAGACCAACAACTGTTAAGGTCAACAAGAGAAAGCAATTTACTGGACCCAGACCCAGTGAAGAATAAAAAAAAAACAGATCCCTGAAGGGAAGCTTGGACAATATAAGAAGTCCAAAGAGAAGATTGGACTGTCAAAATGAGAGCAATAATCAGGAAAGGGCTGCCTAATCGAGCAATTAAACTTGTAGCAATTTAGAAAAATTTTGGGAGCCTTTATAACATACCATCCCAATGGAAAGACAAAGAAGAACCCCCCTAAGCCTGGTGGAACCAGCTCTGAAGTCATCCTGAAGGGGAGGTATAGCAAGCATCAAAACCATTAAAGAAATGTCTAATGGAGGAACTCACCTATAGCTGTTTTCCAGAGTATTAGAGATCCTAAAACCTGTAGATACAGCCTTTCACAAAAGGTATTATTGTCTAGACTGTATGGGCTTCCAGAAGTTTAATCCTGGTTATGTACATAGTTGCATAGTATTTGAGGTTGAATAAAGACATTAGTCCATCAAGTCCAACCTATTAGGATCTCATTCTAGGAGTACCTGTACCCCTGTATATTACATAACCGGGATTAAACAGGGAACTTTGCCCAGCACTTTTCATCCCGGGTCTTAATGTGATATGCATCCATATAAATGACAGAATTCATTCTAGGTAGAAATGGACATATCTTTATGTGCATGGATCGGCAGAGCTGGGTTATGCCCTTCCTTATTTGATTCTTTAACCTCAGCATCTGGTATAGCATTGCTTGGTTTTATTTCTAAATACATGAATCTATCTCTCTTTACAGAGTGGTGGATGGAATTGAGGATAGTGGAGATGTATCTGAGAGCCAAACCTTTCAGTTCAACATGGGCAACTCAAGGGCCAGGTCTCCAGTCAGGCAATCTACTGCGGCAGGTATAGTTTTAGATATATTGCTAGCGATTAAAATTATTGTTTATTGATACATTTTATTCTTATGCTTATTTCCATAGCATTTAACAATTGGAGCAAAATACAAACTGCCTTTCCCATAAGCAGGAATGCTAGGTCCTACACTTACCTAACTTGCATGTTTTGTAAAGCATTGTGCAGACACTTTGACCAAATCCTGATTTGTACTTCCTGGCCCATCTTTCTTGGCTGCCTCAGTATCACACTAACAAAATCAGACACCATGTCACAGAAGATGAACCAAGAATGGGGGTAGATAAGGTCAAGGAGACAGTTGACCCGCTCTTTTCAGTGCACCTGGAACCAGGAACTAAAAAACTAGTCTACTAGCAGTTTGGTTCTAGGTGAACTTTAAGTAGGCATTAAGCTATCCCATCAACAGCAAGGAAGCAACAGTAAGAATCCAGCTGGATTTCTCTGGCACATAGGGCAATCCTGTGGATTTTTAATCATAGATGAGAATCTGTTACTTTGTTCTTGCTTCCTCATACCAGTAAGTCACTACCAGGGCTGGATATCTGTAAAGGCATTATAGGACAAGGCCTAGGGCAATGGTTTAAATAGGGAATTGGAAATAAACACCATCATCTAACCATTTATGACCTTTACTTTGGATGTCCTCCCTGATGAATTCTCCCTTTTCTTCCCCTCCCCCACCCCTCCCCCCTCAATAACCAGCCACTCTCCACCACATATCCCATCTACAGCTGCCATCACAACAGTAGCTATCCAAAAGATTTTTTCTGGGACTGTCACATTATCCCTTCAGTCTTATTTATGACTCGGGTCTCAGTATTAACAGATTGTCTGTTTTGAACACCAATCAATCGTAGATTCCAGCACGCCCACTTGTCCTTAGCCCAGCCTCTCAGCTTCGGCTTATTCTGCCCCATCTCATTTCCTGGACCTCAGCCCCTCCCCCTTATCCTCGGCCTCATAATAATCCACCAACTCCGCCCACACACCGGGGCCCCTCCCCACCCCAACACTTAAAAACTCAGTTTCCCGCCAACGCCGTCTCGATCAGCTCTGACACATCGGCTTGAAAAAGAAGGTATTACCTTTGAAACGCGTCGCCAGCACGAACCCAGGACTCACTGAGTGTTTCAAACACTCCATCTCTCCAACATTTCCTGACCTTTGGGTTCCGCCCCCTCTGCCTCTCCACACCTCCGCACCGTCATCGGAAGCCGACAGTCTGAAGACACAGACTCGCCGGACTATCAAGAGGCCCCAACGTACATCCACCTCCGCCTCCACTCCGGATCCTCACCCCCCTTCCAGCAGGCATATCAAGGAGCCATCACAACACTTCGGCATCTGCACCACCCTCCAGCACCGCGTCTCCCCAGCGCCGGACACTGCGGACGCCCAGCGGGACTGTCACGCCAGCACCCATCCAGAGGATCACCCTGCAGCCTTCTACCCAGGCAGCACAGGAGCCTACAACCGTCGTTGAGAGCCAGCCTTCACTTTCCTCGCGGTGAGTTACAAAATCTCTCCTTTCTTGTGCTCACCTTCCTCATCTCACCTCAATTTTTTGTGTTTACATCTGCTCCACCTGGTCACACCAATACACCACCCATCCCAAGAGGGACCGTCTCCCGAAACTGCTCCTTTCCATCTCACGGCCGTCCTAAAAGTGAATGATCAACCTACCTAGGTGAGTACATCACCTATCCCTCTTACCAGGCCTCACCACATTTGTTGCGCCAGGTAGTGGCGCTTCCGTTCTCCAATTTTTGTTTCCTTTAGTACACCTGTTGGACACCACGGTTCGAACACCACGGAAGCTGCACACCCGCAGGGCAATAAAGACACCTCCACTATTTTTCTACAAAACTAAACCCCCAACTCACACCCCCTCGCCCCCCTCCCTCAAACTCTCCACATAAAAATTTCCCCACGCTCCAGTCACGAACGTGGTACCCACCAAGTACCACCACTCACCCCACCTTTTTTGAACGCCACACATGGGGTAAAAACTCTTTGAACTTTTAATGTGTTACTTTGTGCTGCCCTAGGCCTTGTCCTATAATGCCTTTACAGATATCCAGCCCTAGTAGTGACTTAATGGTATGAGGAAACAAGAACAAGTAGGACAGGGTGAAGCTGTAGAGCAGTGTTCTATCAACTTGTGAAATGTTACTTGTCAATATAACTGTGCCAAGGAGAGAAGCTCCATAACGTTATCAATTGCCTGTCTTAGAGGAACAATGCAGATACGTGGACTTTTAGCATTGTATGAAATTTCATATGTCTTTCCAGACCTAACACTCTTATATACTTGCCCTCCGTTGTTTTCAGTGTTCACACTTAATTTGCTTCCAAAGAATGAGTACTTGGTCCTGGAACGTGTGGCTTTAGTTGTCTATTTATCTGAGATCAGAGGAAGCACAGATGCTTTTTTTTTCACGTTGCAAACCTGAAACTGAAGCCTTTTTCTATTATGCGTGTAAACCTATTAATATTTATACCACTCTTATTTCACTGTCAAAGCTTAGCAGAGGCATATTCTGTTCTGTCAAAATGCCCTGTTTGATCTATGCTTACAACTTAAATGACAGGAAACTCACGCAGAGCTTTATAGAAGCAAGGCAGTGTTAACTGGAGTTAGAGTCCATTGTAAATCATAAATAGCAAATCTCCTAAGTAACAGTGATATCTACCAATCTGAATAAGAATTTTTTCTGGTTCAATAGTTTTATTAACATATTGTTTTAGAGGTTTACAGAATGCACTGTGCTTATCTGGAAGCTTTAGAGTAGTAATAATGCAAAGAAGATTTTGGTTTTTGACATTGTTTAACCACTAGAAAACCACAAAAACTAGAGGCCACCACCTAAAATTGGTGGAAAAAAAATTCCAGCACAAGGGGCGAAGGGGGTTCTTCACAGTAAGATCAGTTAGGGTCTGGAACTCACTGCCACAGACAGTGATTTCAGCAAAGAATGTGGAATTGTTCAAGAAACTTTTGGACGATTTCTTAAGGGACCGTAATATACAGGGGTACAGGTACTCCTAGAATGAGATCCTAATAGGTTGGACTTGATGGACTAATGTCTTTATTCAACCTCAAATACTATGTAACTATGTAACTATGTAACTATGTAACACTTCAGGACTGGTATGTTACACCTCCTTCATTACCAGGCCATTTTTCAGTTTTCAGTGATGTGAAAGTTTGACTGAGATTTACTCCGTCATGCAACACTGGAACAAAATTTATTTTATATTATTTTTTTTAGACAGATATGGCTTTCTTTTGGTGGTATTTAATAGCCATTTTTTTTATTTTTTACTATAAAAAGTAAAAAAAAGACCAAAAAAAACCCTTTCCCTTACTTTCTCTTATAGAACATATCAAATAAAAGTGTCAGGTCAGTCCGAAAACTCCCAAAATTACACCCTTTTGGAATGTAGATACTCCAAGGTGATTTGATTTTTGCCACAATTTTCGGGAAATGAAGAAACATGCTGGTATTGAGGGGGTTAAACATGGAGCTTGGTAATGGTGCACGAGATAGAATAAATGTACAGGTCATACACAGAGGAAGGCGGAGGTGAAGGGGTTAATGTACAGGTCACATACCTTGGAAAGATAGAGATTAAAAGGGTTAATGTACAGATGTGTAGGATAACAGAGGTGAAGTAGTTAATGCATATATCAGAACAGAGATAGAATACAGATAAAATAAGCAGGAGAGGAGGGGGCGAAATGGTTAAAGGAGAACTATGACATGAGTGATTTCCACTCCCCTCATAGTTCTAAGCCGAACTGTGACAATGAGACTGTCACAGGTCGGCTCAGTAGATCGGGAGGTGAGAGAACACATACCGGGCTCCCTCACCTCTCGATCCTGTCACGGCTCTCTGCTCTCTGGGGCAGGATTCCCCTCTCCCCGCTCCGATCTGCCAGCGCTGACTGGCGGAACGGACGGGTACAGCTGGCTCTGCCTCTAGATAGGCAGAGCCAGCTGTCACTCACGCAGCTGGGCGGATCCCGTCATCTAAGTCGGGATCCGCTCCAGGTGCGGCGTCTCAGTATACCGCGAGCTGTAGCTCGCGGTATACTGAGCTTAGGGTAACGGGAGGACGCTAGTTTGTGTCCTCCCGTTACCCCAAGGAGAACTATGGGGGAAAACACTGACCCCATAGTTCTCCTTTAAATGATTTGAAACTTTAATCTTTTTTGCTGCTGCTGGTTGCAGCTTGTTTTCACTAGGAAGCAATGAATGGATAACTCGTCTATTCATTACTTCCTTTACTCTCCCCTACCTCTGATGCAAGAAGAAGGAGAGGGCTTGGCAATGTAAACATTTTCATGTGATCCCTGTGATAACCAACCACAGCAATCACAGGGCACAGAGCCAGTACGATCAGCTATGTGCCTCAAGCCACTGCTCTCCGCTGTTGAAAGTCAACATGGTGGGTATTTTGCTTTCCATATGTGAAATAGTGAGAAGTAGTTAATTAGAATGAAAATAGGAAGGAATGTAGTGAGAAAGGTCTACGGTGATCAAAATCACCAGGGAAAAGTGGGTAATCCATGGATCCCAAATGATCTCAGTTTAGCCACATTGTCCATGAGTTTTTAAGTTTTGTTTTTCATTTATTAGCATCCAATGGACTGTAACTTCGGACAACTTGAGTGTATTACTTTCACAGTGGTCTGTTTTGTTGCCATTAGAACATGTTAGAAGGGTGTTCATGCTTCAGAAGACCTTCTGGTTTTGGATTGAGGATTGCCTCACAAGGGTTAAAATTAAAATGTAAAAAAATAAATAAATAATGTTTATATAACCCTATATTTCCATAAGTGTGTTCAAAGCTAAAACTGTGAGTCATTCACCCTTAATATTTCAGAGGGAGTTGACTGAAGATGACTTCAATGCACCTATGTTTCCAGCTCCAACCACCAGCTCTGCTCATGCAAAACCATTTCTCCATCA